CTGCTGAAGCGCCTTATCTATGCACATGCTACAGAGCCAGGTGAAAGCAAGAGTGCTGCTTCTTCCAGCAAAGCCCCCCTTCTTAAAAAAAAAAAAAATCTGCAAGCAGCCCTTACCACCCTTCCTTTCCTGGCAATCTGTTATTTCAGTTACTTGATTTGATGCTCCGATTTACATTCAGGTATTGTTCATTAGTTTTACCACACCTGAACCTATCAGCTTAAATATGCTTCTGCTTGAAAAAAAAAAAAAAAAAAAAACGAAAAGAAAGTATCATTTAAACTCAGAAATGCTTTTTAAAGCAAGAGAAAAAATGTTGTCCTTAAGGCAATTTTGGTAACTCTTGCCCCTCATTCTCCCCATAATATATTTTACTTACATGTCAAAGTAGTTAATACACCAAAATGATCTATTATACCACAGGTTTATTTACCTCATTATAATTATGGAAGTTTATTTCTTGCCCTGTTGAAAGTTTTACTTTTTTCTACAGGTGCTAAAAACAAAAGCTGACCAGAGCTTCTATTAATAAACTCAAAAGATTTTATGTACCAATACAATGCAAAGAATAAAAACATTTTAGAAATTTAAGATCTTTCAGGAATTTGAAATTTAAAACTCTATGCTCCTGCGTTATCCTGCATGCTGAGGGCAAAGTGAAGTTTTAATTAAATTGCAATACAGGTTGTGTGCACTAGCACCTCAGGTTGTGCTCTTAGGCAGCTGACACAGCATGGTAATTAAATAGGAAGGGAAGGACATAAACAGGCAGAAGGAACATAAATAACTCTATTGCACCTAGAGTAAAGAGACAGCAGGAAGACAGGGGAAGAATGAATTTAAAGAACAGGCAAGTCTATTGCAAACAACAACAATAAAACAGCCACCAATTAAGTACACAAAATCATAGTAAAACATTTTAATCTTGAAATGCTATACAAGGAACATGGAGATACAAACATCTTCAAGAAACCCTGAAGTTTTGGATAGGATTCCTAAAGTTTAGGTTTTCTTTTCACATATTAACTGGTGGAAATTCTGAAAACAGCCATTCTTCAAAGGTATGTTAAAACAGAGATGCAATCTGATATCAACAAAAATTAGAAGGTGCAAATCTATAAACACACATGATATCCAAGACAAAATGTAGATAATGAGCCAAATGGGTAGATGGAAAAGACTGAAGAATCTGTCCATATTACAGCAGGGTCCCCTTTCACATGATAAAAAAAATGCAGGCTCTTAGTACATTATAGGAGTAACTAGCGAATTCCCCATCAACAATGACTGGCGGGGGGGCAGATGGTGAGAGTGCAGCCATCCACCACCCCATGCCGCCACCTCCCAGGAGCAGGGAAAAAGCTTGTCCTGCCATTCCCCCCATGCCACTGTCCTCCCCCCTCCCTGCTCCATCCCCTCTGTCACAGTGGTGCTCCGCACTCTGATTGGTTGTTTCACTAACCAATCAGAGGGCTCCAAGAGCATTACGGACAAACAGACTGACTAAGCCTTTTATTATATAAGAATTTTACAGATTATAATTTTTATTTTGCTAAACCACATCTAAGGAAATGGGATATTATTTTTGCTCATTACTTAAGGTCTCTGAGCACTAGCTGCTCTCTAATGTGAAAGATGAGCATAGAAGGAACACCCTCCCTGCCGAGCCCTGTGAGGAAGGCTGAGAGGATCTCTCATCTTTTGAGAATCAAGATTGAAAGAAAGTGTGATTCAGAAGGAAAAGAATCACAAACTACTGAAAAACTCCAAGAGAAGAAAATATGGAAGGGAATGGCTCAATTCCTCGTTCCCCTTGGGCGATAGGTTGCTCCAGCTGAAATTTTCCAGAACCAAAGGTTACTGCCCTGCTTAATCACTTAAACATCCACTGGGGGTTGTAGGTGGGTATATATACTGGTGCTCCACTGCATTTGAAAGCTAGTCCGAGTCTACCCCAGCCATGCACCTGGTTCAATAATATACCACACAAAAATCCTTTCCTTTTGCAGAAGAGTTGAAAGATTCCCTCATCAACCCCATATTGTGGATATCACCAGAATACACTAACGAGTCTAGAACGAGAAGAAAAGTGAAAAGAATGGGTGAGGGAAAAATATCAGCCATGAGTATTATCAGCCAAATATCAGCCGTCCCATGCTGGGATAACTGGAGCTTTTCTCATAAGACAAAGACAGGCAGTGTTTACTAAAGTGCTAAGTAAAAAACTCACTAAACCAGTTGTGTGCTTAACCTCTGGCTTAGGGCCAAATCCAGCCGTTGGGTCCGTGTCATCTTGCCCATGGGACTCCCCATGTATCCAAAAATGTGATGCCAGGAATATGGTGTTAGGACATGGCCCCACCTGCCAAATTCATGCTGGATCCGGCCTGCAGACTAGCCCTACAGGGAAGAAAGGCTGAGCACCACTGCATTAGACCAACCACTGTTCTAATAGTTTACAAAGGCCTCCTCAAAAGTCTGCTAAGCAACATGCTCAGAATTCAAGCCATACCTCAATAAACTGTTACAACCAGCAGCTGATAGATCTTTCCTCAAAGCATTTTTTTTAGATTGGAGGCCTGCAAGGGAGGATTGTGAGCTATAGGCTCATCTAAAAGGGGAGGTATTTCAATATTCTGCCTTCAGTCTGTTGCAAGTGTCCCTGCAAGACGAGGGACCCAGACTTTCACGAAGATCATTCACAAGAAGTTAAGCAAGAAATTCAGGGGACAACAGAAAGTTTTGAGTCTAGCATTTGTGCTGGCAGAAGGCAAGGATAGTTTCTCTGGCATGCAATCATTCCAAAAATACAACTGTTCTTGCACGCAGAACCTAAAGAAGTTACAGCTGAACTTCACTGTCTTACTGTTTCACCCCAGTTATACATGGCATGATTCACAGCAAGTTACCCCAGATGCAGAGTTCCTTTGGTCTGAGGAAAATGGGTGACATTAAATGGGTGCCTTTTGCAGCTGCACAAGCTGCTTGGCCAGGAGTAGCTATTTGAACTGCAAGCCAATCCTTGATGATCTTAATAGTGCAAAAAATCCAAAACCTGGACACAATACACACAAATATAATTAAGAGGTTGGAAAACTGTTAGTGGGACAAACTTTTATATTAAAACTGACTAGTCTACATCAGTCAGTAGTAAAACTGAATGCTCAGTTTCACATAAGTACAAAAGAGAACATAAATAAAGTTATTGTAAAAATATTCAAAATTCATGAAAGAATTAGACACCCATAAATTTGTCAGAAAGATGAAATGTATGTTCCTTGTTGAAAGCGTGAGAACCTAATAATGGCAGCACTCTTAAGTGGGTAATAAAAATGTTAGAACTAATTTTCATGTGTGCATGCCCACATACAACATAGGAAAGAAAATTATGTTATAGATAATGCAGGTTAAGACTTAATTCTTCAGTAAGCATGTCTTCTTTACTTAATTCTCCACAGAGAAGTTTGTTTGCGATCAGATGATTGAATAAAATTAATTTTTAAATGGAGAGGGGAGAGCAGGCCAAAACAGTAGATATATTAAAGTTGGCAGAATCTGACATTCACTCTATACTACTTATAGGAATTAAGTACTTTCTGTACTATTATTTTTAAGGATTCATGGAGAACAGGTGTGGCCTGATGGGCACAGCACTTATCTTGAAGGGAAAAGAAAAGGATATGGGAAACATAATCCCAGTCAGTCTACTGTGGATCCCTAAAACAAAAAAAACCAACACAAAAAAAAAAAATTCTGATATAGATTAAGAATCAGTTTTTACATACCTAGACATCAGAGTTGATAAACATGGGTTTGACAGTAACGGACTGACACTCTAATTTCCTTCTGACAGGGTGGCTAGCTGGCTAAGTAGATACAAGAAGAGCAGTAAATTGACATAACCTAACTCTGGTAAGGCTGCTGATACCATCACACATTATTTCGTATTTTTTATAGAAGCCAATAAAATATAGTCTAGATGTAATCAGAATCTGGTGAATCCCCTAAAACTGGTTTTAAATTATTCTCAGAGTATTTATAACAATTTACAGTCCATCCAGGAAGACATTTGAAGTGGGGGGCCCTGCAAAGAAGCATCTTTTGCCTGGTTCTATTCAGTATTTTCATTAATAACATGGTTAATGGAATAAACACATGCAGATTAGGCTAGGAACAGTTGCAAGCAATATGGAGAACAGGATCCTATGAAAAACTGGAGAAATACCATATTTTCTTGCATATCACACATCCTTGATAAGGCATGCACCTTGTTTTTGGAAGGCAGGAAAAAAAAAAAAAAAAAGAGAACTTTTTTTGAAAATACTAGTAAGAAAAGAAAGAAAGAGGGAAAGAAACAAAAAGAAGAGAAAAGAGAAGAAAGGAGAAAATAGAAGAAAGAAAAGAAAAGAAAAGAGAAGAAAAAGGGGAGACAGAGGGGAGAGAGAAAAAAAGGAGAGAAGGCGAGAAAAGAAGAAAGAGAGAAAAAGGGTAAAAGATAGGGACCTATCAAATTCATGGTGGAAGTAGGGTGCATGGCAGCATATTTAATTTTGCAAGTTCCCCTGCGTGCCCTCCCCTGGCACTGATTGGTGGAGGGGCCACACTTGCAGTCCTGATTGGCAGGGAGGCAAAAACTGCAGTTTTAAACTTAGAGCCATTTTTGTTGCCCCC